GTCTCTGTGAGCAGCGGCTTTCAAACAAACATTTTACACGACAGCATTCATGAACAGAAAAATATGCCGTTTGGTTTGCAAAGAGTCTTCAGGTATTATCAAAATAGCATGAATAAATCTATTAAATTATTATATCAATAATACACATTAAAATTGATGACTTAGTTTTGCGCCGTGCAGTATTTTGACTGTGTGTCAACATTTCCAAAGACCATAATCCGTTCATCATCAGGGTTGAAATAAAGTCTTTTTATATAAGAGAATATTTTCCTATCAGACCAATATCTCATCATCAAAATCAATGTATTTGATAAAATACATTTAAATACATTTCTATAAATGATAACGCCTATAAATTAGTTATATTCAATATATGAGTGTTCGTAACGAAAAGTAACGAACAGCAACACCAATCTCTCCTGTCAGTCCTGAAGACAGACACAGATAAATGACATTCATCGCCCTGATGATGGAGGCAGTATGACCTCTGAAACGTTGGTGGAAATCGATCAGACTACACAGCACAACAACCCAGAAGACAGAAACCTTCAGAATAAAATATGTAACCGAAAATTAAATAATACTTATATGTAAGACTATATAACAATAAGTAGGATTTGATATTCTCACGGTGGTAAGTACCAGACAACACGGCGCTACAACACAGAATACAGCCATCTTTATTTTACAATAATATTGTGATGACTGAATAAAGTGTTGCACAACGACACTTGCTTTAACTTAGTGGGTAACATATAATCAAAACGTAGAATAATTACGAATTTAAAAGTACATAAAATTCGTCACGGTCTACTTTAAGGCATTTTATGGACGGACTAAGGTATACCAAGAACACGTTCAATCAGGACAGTAAGTTCCTACGAACGAAACTCAATCACGACACCTCTGAAATTCGAAGGAGGTTAACCACCCATCTGCGTTAACGATAACGGTACACGGTAAGCGTTCGTGCGTTCTTACAGTCCGAAGGGCAATGACGCTGTGAGGACCGCTTGTCCGTCAGGAGACCACCAAGCCGCGTTGAGGAACTTTGTATTCCACACGTATCTCTGTGTTGGTCTCTCCTGGGGCACACTCACGCACTTCAGACTTGTTCCTATCTTGTAACCAACCAAACACTACTCGTATGCCTAGTTCGTGTAGCCAATTTCATGAATCTCTAGACACAGAAATACAGCGTGTGCAGTTATTCTAGTACAACGGACGCACAAATGCAACACGCAAAACGTAGCAAAGCTGAACAATCAAACGAGTTATGTCCGAAGGTCAGCATTTATTTTGCGTAGTGTTACGAATGGATGAGACGAGACGTGTGTACAGGAAATTGGTACAAGAAACCTTAGGATATGCAGGACAGAATCAAATGAATTTTTTTTTCGAAATAAGATGTAATCTAGACTGGATTCATGTGGCTCATGACAGGGCGAGCTTTTGTGAACACGATAATGAACCTTCAGGTTTCATAAAAGCCCGGGGATTTCTGAGGTTATCTACGTCAATATTCAATATAATTCAAAGAAAGTTCACTCACCTCAGATACTTAAATGTAAAGTATTAGATCACTGGAGCACAAATCAGACACGTGCAACTAACTATCTCGGTAACTGCACCGGAAGAAAATGGCGGTATTCGCTGTTGCACTTCACTGAATCAAGCACTGGATGTCAGCACTAGCTTGAAGCATCTATCTGGTACCGTTCGTCAGAAAAGTGCCTGATCGCCATTACCCCGTTCTCCCCTACCTCCTCAAGAAGTTTGCCCTAAGAAGTTACTTATGAACATGTATCGAATGGCATCGCATATCGATTGGAAGCCTGCATTGTTAGTTGCATAATCAGAGCTCTTGTTACGTTTGAGATAATCTACCTTAAAATAAAACTTAAGTGTTCTGGGATGTTGCATCATGTAGGGTGTTCACCCTGATGATGGAGGCAGCAAGGACCACTGAAATGTCGTTAAACGTTTACCTGATTACATGACGCAACATTCCAGAATATAGTCGCCATCCTTGCTGGAAACTGAAATGTCATCAACAATATTGTGATCGTCAAATTAATTATTGCAGATTACAATAAACCACTGCATAAATGTACGTATGTAGATGGTCCTATGTTATGTGCGTACACTATTCACTTTCCCTCCTTTACTGTTATTTATATGCCTACGTAATTTTTTCGAAGAAGTGCCTTTTAAGTTAAATGTGAAATTAATCTTTGTTTTACTGATGAACTTTCAGGTCCCTTCTAAAAAACTAGATGGGAAACGGGGTTAAATTAGGCCACGACCGCTTCCTTCCACATCCTTTCCATTTCAATATTCAAAGTAATAAAAACGAGATGTTGGTACGAATGTACTGCGAGACCTTCCGTTAAGAGCAAGCAGGCGACATCTAGCGAGTGAAGACGCAAACTATATTCGATACGTTCTCGGTAGATACCGGACAAGTACGATCCCTAGCGACGGTCTTTAATAATGCGCAGGTGGCGACAAGGACGTGGAAAGTTAGAACTAATCTGAAAGCAGGTGCTGGACGTACATGAGCGGAGGATGAACAGAAAACAGTAAACATGGGGGCTATCACACAAGTTCAACGCTGCCGGTGACTTCGGCAGCATTCTTCCAGCGGTTAAAGGTAACACTCGTCAGTGCAATATTTCCAGAGTTCAAAGACCTAAGAAAGAGACAAAAATATGTAGAAGTTGTATACTGTGCCAGTTGCATGTTCTTGAGTTTCTACATTTAAAAAAAAAGACATGATGGTAACTTACGAACAATATTACTGAGAAGCAGTATCAAGTTTTTAAATATCTTTAACAATTGTGTACAATAACTTCCTACATCTTTTTTTTAAATTTTTGTTGTAATATATCGCGGTTTAAGAGTGTCGACAGCAACTTCTTTTTTCTGTTTGCTTATTTTTGACTTTGTGGAAGACGAAAGTGGCAATATCCTTCTCCAGCCGGTAGCAGCTTCCAGCGAACTGCATCCCTTTCCACCCTTGTGCTTGACTGCCACGCGCTGTGTGTGTAGTAGAGAGGTAAATCAATAAATACCGAACATAGCTAAAGCATCACGGACCAGGTACGCATGCAACCGAGCTCGCCAGACAACTGACCGCCAGTAACCTTGATATGTGCCATCCGATGTAAAAGTAGACAGCCACGTTCTGTATGTCCTTCGAATATTTCGGATCAACTTAGTGAGTTACTTTACTTTCGTTTATTCATTTATTTATTTGTAGTTTAACGACGTGTTTTCTGCCGTTCAGACTATATATACCGTCGAATGTTATTTTAAAGTTACTGATTCATCTACCTTTAGAATGTCATAAAAACCTCAATAATAGCCGGTATCCTAGTCAAGGTTCGAACAGAGAACCTCCAAAATAGTAAATAATAGCGTTTCTTCAACTAATACATATTATTTCAAGAGCTAGAACACAATATATGACGATATTGTACGTTGAAAGTATTTTGGGAGGTAGATATGAAGCGTGAATGTTTCTTTGTTTATTAAAATGACTGCGCGCGCATGCACACGTAAGTTATATTATTTTAGCGCCAAGTAATATCATTACGAATTATGACCGTATTTGCCTGGAGGAACTGTGGAAAGTAGCCAAAGAAATTGATGACGGTGTTTGGAGTCAAGATTTGAACCACGGACCTCAAGAACAAGAAGTAGATTCCCGGCACTTTATATTATTTGCACTGAATCTATCACCGTTTTCATTTTGAAAGGCTAGGAATGTATAGATATTAAAATTCCGAAACTATATTGCCCAATTTTAACTTGAAGCACTCTCTCACCTGATTTCCTTAAGATCCATTTTAGTATAATCCTTTTTCCTTTTCCCTATACGCGCTACGTGCCCGGCCTAGCTCTTTGATTCGACCAGTTGCATGTTCTTGAGTTTCTACATTTAAAAAAAAAGACATGATGGTAACTTACGAACAATATTACTGAGAAGCAGTATCAAGTTTTTAAATATCTTTAACAATTGTGTACAATAACTTCCTACATCTTTTTTTTAAATTTTTGTTGTAATATATCGCGGTTTAAGAGTGTCGACAGCAACTTCTTTTTTCTGTTTGCTTATTTTTGACTTTGTGGAAGACGAAAGTGGCAATATCCTTCTCCAGCCGGTAGCAGCTTCCAGCGAACTGCATCCCTTTCCACCCTTGTGCTTGACTGCCACGCGCTGTGTGTGTAGTAGAGAGGTAAATCAATAAATACCGAACATAGCTAAAGCATCACGGACCAGGTACGCATGCAACCGAGCTCGCCAGACAACTGACCGCCAGTAACCTTGATATGTGCCATCCGATGTAAAAGTAGACAGCCACGTTCTGTATGTCCTTCGAATATTTCGGATCAACTTAGTGAGTTACTTTACTTTCGTTTATTCATTTATTTATTTGTAGTTTAACGACGTGTTTTCTGCCGTTCAGACTATATATACCGTCGAATGTTATTTTAAAGTTACTGATTCATCTACCTTTAGAATGTCATAAAAACCTCAATAATAGCCGGTATCCTAGTCAAGGTTCGAACAGAGAACCTCCAAAATAGTAAATAATAGCGTTTCTTCAACTAATACATATTATTTCAAGAGCTAGAACACAATATATGACGATATTGTACGTTGAAAGTATTTTGGGAGGTAGATATGAAGCGTGAATGTTTCTTTGTTTATTAAAATGACTGCGCGCGCATGCACACGTAAGTTATATTATTTTAGCGCCAAGTAATATCATTACGAATTATGACCGTATTTGCCTGGAGGAACTGTGGAAAGTAGCCAAAGAAATTGATGACGGTGTTTGGAGTCAAGATTTGAACCACGGACCTCAAGAACAAGAAGTAGATTCCCGGCACTTTATATTATTTGCACTGAATCTATCACCGTTTTCATTTTGAAAGGCTAGGAATGTATAGATATTAAAATTCCGAAACTATATTGCCCAATTTTAACTTGAAGCACTCTCTCACCTGATTTCCTTAAGATCCATTTTAGTATAATCCTTTTTCCTTTTCCCTATACGCGCTACGTGCCCGGCCTAGCTCTTTGATTCGACCATATTTGGTGAAGGGTACAAGTTATGAAGCTCCTCATTGGCCAATTTCCTCATGCCTCCTGTCACTTCGCCCCTCTTACGTCCAAATATTCCCACCATCTTACGTTCTCCCTCAATCTGTGCTCTTTCCTTACAGTGAGAGACAAAGTTTGACATCGATACAAAACATCAGGTATGTCTACAATTACAATAATTTTATTTTAATATTTATGTTTATAGGGACGAGGAAAACGCAAACAACTCACATTCAAAATGGGTAAGAATATAAAATTCTTCATCTAAGATTACAATTGCAGTTTCGAAATTAAAAATATACGAAGAAATGAATAATCATATTTGTAAAGTCGTGAAAAAATTGTCACCTTCTAGTTGTCTTAATTCTTAAGCCACAGAATTCATTAACAAAAAGAAAAATGTATACAACAACAACAACACATTTTTAGACCATCCACTGGCATTTTCTTATCAGACAAGGGCTGGCCAAATGGGAACGACCATCAGTTTTACAGACACAGGACTTTTATTTGATTTCATAAAGTAAACTAATTTCTGTGCTCTGTAAGAAGGACTTACGTCAAAACAAATTATTTTTTACCCGAGCCCTTATTGAGAGCCAAAGAATTTACATTGCAACAATAATTTTGTTTGTACAAAATAAAAATTAACGCCAAACTGAAATAAGCATAACACTAGTCTTTATTCGTATACGTTTTAAGTTCAGAATTGTGTTCCCATTTACCTGACATCATTTTAACGCTCGGCGCGTCTGATATGTATTTAGGAAGGTACCCGGTTTGAATCTAGGTCAGTAAGCGTGCTAACCTGACTGGCTTTGATGATATTTACGTCTGTATTGGTGACGTACTTGTAGGCCTTGATTTAAACGTGTCCCATTTCCTTCCCGATAAGATCTTATTTCAAGGTACATAATTTTTCCAACTGAAACATCAGATGATGGACTTCTGGGTCGCAACGCCTTGTGAACTTGTATGTAGATATAAACGTTTCGGAGGAACGTGGTTAACCTCTGTGGGGAGCTGACACTTCGGGAACCTAAGATTAGAGTCCCTATTCCCCAGACATCGACATCAGAATCTCGAATTTCGTGAGCATGGTACAGAATTCGCTCTCCATAAAAGGCAGGCAAATGCTTGGTCAGCTAAGTGTCTACTAACTAACTAACTAGATGGCTTACCGAACCCAAAGGTTCATCACCGAATTAACCAAAGCCCTCCACCGGACCCTGTCCTGGGCCAACAAAATCCATTCTCCTTCAACTCCTGTCTCCCATAGATCCCGCCTGAGATTATCCTCCCATCTACGTCTAGGTCTCCCCAGCGGTCTCTTCCCTTCAGGTTTCCCAACCAGTACCCGGTGCACACCTCTTGTCCCATCCATGCACGCTACATGCTCAGCCTATCTCATTCTTCTCGACTTAATCACCCTGACAATACTGGGGGAGCAGTACAGATTTTTAAGCTCATTTATAAAAACAAATTTCTCCGTGGGATTCATTCGTTCTTGTTCATCTCGGTATTCCGATTTAAGCGCCAGGTACACTCTGTACTAGGGAGAATAAAATAATTTTCACTCTTCATATAAGTCTAGTTCTAGTTTCAGTATCATACCAGTGCTCATACAGTAGAGGCTGTTGTATCGTTCTGCTCTGTGGAGTGAATAATCTCCTTACAAGGATCACTGAAATTCCCTCCTCTGTGCAGCAAAAACATCGAACCATGATCGCTCATGTGTCACTAGATTGACGCAAACGTACAAACGCGTATCTGTACATCGTGCATCCAACTACCTATACGTTAGTCGTGAGGTCCGTTAAGTGTATAAAAGAAATATACGTAATTTCGTTAGGCCACCGTTGTTAAAAAAGGGCTTTTTAGATCTGATTGGTGGAAGAGATACCAATAACTTGTACTCACTAGTTGTGAGAACTGGATGATGATACCTGTTATCACTAGCGTCGTGAAATACTATTTACAATAGTTATATGATTACAAAAGTAATTTTATGAATTGTAATTATTAATGTATTTATCTTTTCTGTCGTTCTTAATGGCTATTTACTTACATTTATACGCGTATTAGAATATAATGATATCGTGATTATACGCAATTTCACCGGATTTGAAGTAGACACGAAGAGATTGTTGGTGTCATACGTAAAACGAAAAGTACCATCTGCAATCGATTCTCTTCCGTCGAATGACATCCTGGAAGAGACTTCCTTCAAGGAAATGAAAGCATTTGTATGTAAGATGTCGGCTAACAGTTACGAAGTACAGATGCAGTATCACTGGTGCTACTGAGCTCACTAAATCATATTTTATCAGTGGAGTTGAACGTGTTCAGAAATTTATATCTGGTTTTCGGGAATTCAAAGTAGATGGTCTTGCTTTATTTATGACGTCTGTACGTTTTGGCTTGGCCAGCACGAAAGTGCAGTCACTACGTAGCAAATTTAAGTGATGTCATGAACGTGAGCTTATAAATTATTTATTATATTAGCCTTATGATGACGATAATCGTTTAAAGGAACTGAGTTATGTTTTGAAGAAACTGAACTTCATTCTCGATAAGGTCCAGATTGTTATGCACATAGATTCCTTTAAATAGAACTATGTGAGAGAAATAAATATGTAAACACCTTTGTACCCGAGGCCAGTAATTTTTTAAAGCGTCTGATGTGACTCAATGTAACATACAAGGAGTACTGAACTCAAAGCATGTCTAACACGTTCTTAGATACCAAGAGTTCAATTCCGCGAGTTTCTACTTTTAGCAGAGAGGTAATGTAGGTATGTCAATAAATCGTGTATTGGTTAGACGAATTTAGAACTGGAAGAATTCCAGTTTTTCGGACTCGGTTGTAAATATTCTTATTAGTTAATGTAATTACGCCACGTAATCAGTTAAGAAATAAGGATAGGCATGATTTGTCATCAGACTTGTTTAAATGACAAAGTCAGTATTGACTCGTATTGAATCAGTGATACCCTTTTAGAATTTATAACTTATTGCAATGAAATGTCTCGCAGTTGGCGAGATTTAATATTCTCACGGCGACGAGTATGAGGATGCCTGTTTTCTTGGATGTTGCACGGTGTAGTCTGGTAGAATCGCCCTCATGTTGGAGGCAGAAAGCTCTCCTGAAAAATCAGTCACCATCTACCAGACTGTACGGTGCACCACTCCAGAAGAGAGACATTTTCTTTTCGAAATGTTTTACAGCGTACCCAATATCCAGCGATAAGTGTGTGTTTCTGTGGAAATGGAAACTACGGAACAGATTATTTCGAGCCGAGGAAATTCAAGATGGAATCTGTAATGAGCCATCTGCAATTCAGAAACTCTCGTGCAGGGGAACTCGTAGTGTCTGCATTTTATAGTCGGCTCGTCCTCCACCTGAACCTGATTTACAGCCCCTAATTCGGAATTACACCCTTGCACGGTCTCGTGATTTCTCTTGCAACGTAAATTTGCCTTTCAGATTCGTAACGCACTCTTAGGTAAGCAGTGGCGTATCGCCGGTAGTGTCTGTGGAAAATAATTTTTTAAATTTCTTTATATCATTACCTGGGTTGGCAATCACGTTAGCTGGGGCACCAAACACGAACAAATTTTGTGGTATTTAATACAAGAAATTCTAAGCAATCCTCTGAGTGCTGATTTAAGGAGAAAATAAAGCACTTTTTTATGCTCACTATTCCCATTATTAACACTAGTTAACGTGTGTGTTTCAATGGAGAACACATTCAGAATGCGTTCTTTGAGTATTTTGCAAACACCGCTGACCTTGATTTTCATTTAGAACATAAATATGCAAGAAAATAATAAATTGCACTACAGGTAATTGAAGTCAGAAATTATTTTAAATATATCTTCTGGATTGTGTGCTTTGTGGTCTCGTAGGGCGATCATCTCCTTGATGATGGATGCAGTAAGCACCTCTGAAACAGGTCAGTTCACGAGATTACGCAGCGCACCGTCAGTAAAATACTGAAACCTTACTCAAATTATTTTCCTTTTATTCTGTTTAATATTCACCACTTCAAAAAAAAAATGGTTCCGGTATGTTCCACCTGCTTTAACAACAAACATTAATATGATTAAATATTGAATTACTTAATATTTCAACTGAAACTGTTACGGACGCTCTTGTATTTCGTTTTCCAAACTGACCAATCCGAAAGAAAGTGTCCTCCTTCACTGCTCAGTTCGTATCGGGTGCCATAATGAGACGACGATACTGAAATGTTCGTTTTATCCACCACTGCCTTTTAACCCCCTTGATATTCGTGGCGAAGCAATATCCACGAACGCTAGAGATAAAGCATGACAAATTTAACAGCACGAAGGCGATATTATGCCCTAATTTCGTAAGGTATTCCATGATGACATCACGATACAATCGATTCTTATCCCAGTGGAAAACTGAACATCCTCTTCGTGTGGTGTATTTATTACTGCTAAAGTTTAAATTCATGTAGAGCACAACTTGTTAACTACGTCGACCTTGTCACTGTTTTATAAAAGGCTACAGACTCGTCTGCCACTTGTAATCTTGGCGCCGAGATGAGGTACATTGGTGAGTAAACTCAGTGGTAAAACAACGTTCGGTATCATAACAACACATAAAGAAGGTAAGGTAACTTAACATAACTTCCGAAATTGTAAACAGCTGCCCTGCACTAACTACAGCACTTGTTGACAGCATTCTCATACAATAGACCAGTGGTATTCAACCTTTTTTGTTCGCGTACCCCCAGATATAATTTCTCTTCAACTTTGTACCCCCAAAGTTGTTGGTGTATAATTCAAGTTATACATAGTATATAATCTACATCTAAAATAAATTAAATAAATTACATTACTGAGTATTCAGTGTTTATCATAAAATAATATTTTTTTAAATTTCACGTACCCCCTAAGATATTTTCGCGTATCCCCGGGGGTACGCGTACCCCAGGTTGAATACCACTGCAATAGACGGATGCAAGAACGGAAATTGTAAATACTAGCCGACCGCAGAACAAGGAAGTGCATGGGTACAAGAAGACTTCATCCAGCTGTTCTGATGGTCTTAGAATTAAGAGGACGCGACAGTTTCCCTGAACCTGAATGCTTTCATTCCCTTTATACGCAATAGTATAGACCTTTTATGTTTCGTAAAATAATACATATCTCGAAATATAAATAGCGTATTAAATAGTAGCGGTAACATCGCGGTGTAAACGATGTTGTACGTCCAACCTAATGATCGCATGTTTGTATCTCAAATGTATTTCTAATAAAGAATTAGTTTCTATAAAACGTTCTTTCTGTCACACAAATAAAGCAAACTGCAATGGGACACAGAACATTGCGGCCGAGTGATTAATACTGTTGCTTTCTTTTCGCGGTTCTCCTCAGCCCCTTCAGAAAATTTCAAGTACTTCCTTCCGTATCCTTTTCGATTTATTATTAATCAATCAGCCCATCGTTCGATGTTATGTAATCTGAAGAACCGATAGCGATGTTAAATACATTTTTCAGTAAATTCAATCAGACTAGAAGTGGCATGATGTCCTACACTGTGATGGTATTCATAAATAAGATATGCAAATCGAAGAAGTTGCAACAGGCTGGGCATGAAGCTGAGACATGAGAAAGCAACCGAAACATTTTAGATATAAAAAAAGTCACGCAAAAAATTAAAAAGTTCCTGTTCTGTAATATCCATAACAGGCTAAGTAGACCTAACGTTCTTAAGGGTGATAATGATCTTTTATGCAGGGGCTGAGATGCTTCAAGCATCACAAATACAACATAGTTCAAACCTGGCAATGTGGCTCAGACTATATATATACGGTCTGCATGGCTTCTTCATTGAAATCCTTTTCACTGCAGGTTGGGAGTTCATTGTCAGTGGCAACTGGAAACTCCCAGGTAACTAACTATACGATAATACCTTTTATATATCTGATTATTCATCTGTTATAAGAAGGAAAAGGATGCAACCATTTTTATAAAATTGCTTCGAACTGAATTAGTTTTATCCTAGCATCCTAATTTTAATTAAGGTTTCTGCATGTTGTTTTTCCTAATTACTTCTTCTTAATTAGTGCAGCAAATATTTTTACCATGAATATAAAATGTTGTAAGATCTTTGCGTTATTAGCATAAATACAAATTCATATACTCGATGAAAAAGATATTTTCCTTGTTAATGAACTGCAAACAACTCAATGACTACACTATCATCCTCTTACGCTGGATATTAAAAATAAGATTAAACGTAACTGTAATGATTAAACAGTATAACTAAGAAATTCATTCCAAATTAGTATTCCTTCTGAGTTATTAAATAACCTATTAATCACCTGAGAAATTTTATTATTTGAATATTCACAGTGCTTACAGACTTGGTCTGGTATTGGACACGAGGCTGGGTGGGCCCCAGAGCCGGTCTGGATGCAGAGGCTAGAGGGAAAAAAATCCTCTGCCCTCGTCGGGGATCGAACCCCGGTCGCCCAGTCCGTAGCCTTACTCAACTGTAACATTCTAAAATAACCTACAAACTTCATTAGAACTTCCCCCCCCCCTTGTTTCTTGCAATTATCGCCAACCACCCTTCACTGTTGACTTATCACCTCATTATGAAATGTGATTAGAACCAGATTTCTAATCAGGAACTGAGTTCTTCTTCATTCTAGGAAGAACCAAAGACCATACCAATTACTTTCGGACACTACGCTAAAGAGAAAACTAGGTTAACAGCTATCAGGGTCAGCTATTAAAATATACGGAAGTGAATGGAAGCTGTGATTTAATTTACATGAGACGATCAACTCTGGTCAACAGGTCCCATTTCCTTCCCCATGGATATATCTATAACAAATATTTTATATGCCACCATTACTGTTTCAGGTTACACAAGCGTATGGTCTTTGGCCATTTACGGCATATCAGGGATGGTCATGGAACGCATATACGCAGCTTGCAAGCGATCAAGAGTGTCCCTTCTCCTTCGTGGGGTGTATTACCTCTTGTGGGTCTACACGTGGGAGTTCTCGACAGGATTCTTATTGAAGCAATTCAATGCCTGCCCATGGGACTACTCTGAATTTAATTATAACGTTCGAGGACTTATAACATTTGAATATGCACCCTTATGGTTCTTTGTCTCGATATTAATGGAAAGAATAGTCATTGCACATATATCAGACCTACGCTGGGTCACATCATCGTCTCACAACGGACTTGCCGCGAGACTCAAAGACTGAATTGCCACGTCGTCAAGTACAGTATCACACCACATGCATTATACCCGGAGATAAGAATTTTAATACTCGCGAAATCAATACGTACAGCTACTGGCCAGTTATAGATTCATTAAGAGAAATGTATTGAACATGGCCAATCTCCAGCTAAGCCGGTTTTCAAGCGTATTATACGTATTATAAATTGTTATAAGGGTCTTTTGAAACTCAGTTACTTCTGAATATTCTAATACACGGCAATTGGATTAAATTGAAAACATTCCAGACCATAAATACCAAAATGGTACAAGCATAATTACAATAATAATAATAATTTTATGAAGTTCTGAACGATCGTATAGTCAAAAATTAATTTTGTTAATATTACAATGCAAAGACGTCTAAGTTAATGCCAGAATTCAGTATTCAAGGCAATTCAGGGTCTTAGCACAGATAATATTGTTTAGTTACTGGTTAAATATGGTGCACTTCTTCAGAAAAGTAATTTAAATTTAAATATAAACACTATCATTTCATACTTTTGTAATGAATCTCGTTGTTACTTCCAAAGCAAGTTGCTGCTCTCATTTGCCACGATGTATTTTCCTCTAAAAGCTTTATTTATAAAAAATACAAGTTTAATATAAAAGCCGTGTTATTTGTGAAAATAAAATCCAGTTATGCACAAACATAATTAATGCTCACTTCGTTGATGGAAAAAATGCAGTCCGAGAAAAAGATGGAAGGATCCGGTTCATATTACGTCGACAACCTCCTGTAAAGGAGACGACGTAATAAAGAAGAATTGAATATCATCAGGAGTAACAGACTGTTAAGTTTAATATTAAATGATTTAAGTACAATTTAAGATTAATCTGACTCAGTCAGCAAAGAAACTTCCTACATTTGTTCCAGATGCCACTTACGCTAGTTAAAGTCCTCTTCAGAATTTGATTTTGGCTTTTGCTTTACCACCTGAGATACAAAGAGTGTCTCCAGAGGCAAGGACAATTGATAAATATTTTATGAACGTGTAGATTGAACTGTTCAAGGATATCACTACTTCTAATTTTCACAGTAACTAAATTTTGAACAGCTGATGTGGAGTAAAAGTTTGAAATTTTGGAGACTCGATCATCGCGGACGAAGACTGTCTCCGGAAGATCAGACTTTAATTCTGTAAAATTGTAGTGATCACCCAGGAAGTCTTTAAAGCTAGAATTTTTTTATCACATGACAACACTGCCAAGGTGTTTCCCCGTTGAAAAGTCAATGAATAATGGTAATATGGTGACCAAATATGAAAATTCAGCCATGTTGGCATAAGATTCTAAATGCCATTCGACTAGCACTACAGGACGTAAACGGTCTGCGATTATATCAGTACGTTAACTCTATTGACCATCCGGTGTTTTATCAACATAATTGTAGACTTGGCGATGATGTATTCTGGACCAAGTAAATTACAAGCTGTAGTTGTAGATGAAAGCATAACGTGTTTTGATACCCTGTACTATAGAATGTTATTAGAATAATTGTGTTAAAACTCGGAACAAGCCGTTAGCTGCCTAACAGATAAAATAGAATTGTGATCGTATAATTGAAGATAAATGTCCAAAAATTATTGCTTAGAACAGTTTTAGAAGAATGTATGTTACGGTATTTAAATACTTAAGGATTCTTTTTTATATTTCACTTTTTCTTAGAGTACGTACGTAAAAGTAAACTTTATCTAAGAAATATTGTGTTATAGATGCGTGTAATCACTGAGGTTACTGAAAATAAAGTTATGAATAAAAATACACGTCGTAATATTAATTTTAAGAAAGAAATTGACATCTTTTTAACAATTTTAAAAGACATTGGAAAATCGTGCCTTGGTGAGATATCAGGTTCTCACGGTGGTAATCATAAATGTGCCAGTGGAGGCTACCCATTGATTTAATAGGTGCACAGGAGATCAATTGCTAGCAGGTTGCACTCACCTGCTATATATTACACAAAAAGGTTCATAGACAAACATCGCTGTTATCTCATATCTGTTATTCCTGATCAAATATTTGGATGGTAACTTCTCAGATACCACTATCTCATACTTCTGACAGGTCAATGAAATATCCAGTGCTTCCAGAAGATTTCCAACCGGCTAGTTTTGAAGTAATTCTCAAATACTACCGGAAAAAAATTATCTGTAACATTTTTTTGAAAATGCTGATAGAGGCTGGCGACTCAAAATATTGCTGATTTCTCATTTGGCAAGATACCAGATACAATTGGTGAGGGGGGGGGGTTTCTTCAGTCCCTCCAAGAAAATTCCAGTGGCTTGTTATCATAATTGCTAATTCCTAATTCTTTTCCCCATTACCTCTCACAATCATCCACTTTCTTGCCACACAAAAACCAACAGCATAAGAGAGATGATAAAAAACTTAAGAAAGCGAAGTAGAACAATTATTTTTAATATTATTAGTATCATCACGACACGATTTCGATGACTACGCTTAACATAAAAAATGTTCATGTTGAAAAACT